TTCCCTGAATTGAATTTGATATCACAATCCCAACAATTGTTACTAAATTGTCCATGAAATTTCAATTTTTTCCTAACGGTGTAGGTGATTGGAGTTTCGAATTTCATAATCTATCATCATTTAAAGAGAATGAAATTCAAAAAATGCCGGTCAATCGAAAATTGAACGCCAGACGACATTTACCGATAATTGGTGATTGTGCCCATGAGCATAAGGAGATTCACCGCGGACGGATATCCTTTAGTGTTTCACCGTGGTATGAAAACCGAACGGAGAAGGTGGGCTATAAATAACGCAGCAACCACCCTGAGGACGGAAAGTAGCTTGCCTTCAGAGTTCCGTAACGAATTCTCGCGATTGCTCTTGCTCTTTGTAATACCTGCATTACAGCCGCATATGCTTCAACACCGTCGAATATCAAATCGCTGTACCAATCTTAATCTATTCATTGATAGCGTTCATGTTACCAGTAACAACATTGATGACTTTATACAAAGTTGCCAACTTTCAAAAAATAGAGAAAAATTAAACTGCACGGAGAAAAATCTGTTGAGTATTATTCGTGAATTTTAATTACAAGATCTATGCGCGCGATATCGCGCGCGCTGATCTGTTCATTTTTGTTGAAATGAAGAAATGGAATTCATTGAATTTCATTTTCTCATGAATACCTTATAAATATTGATAATGAATCAAAGAGAATTCGACTAATGATTGAAGTGAATAGCGAAGTAGAGTAAAGGAATCTATGAAGAATTTTTCATTTTCAATTAATTATTTTCAATTTTTTTAAATAATCGATCTCCATAAAAGGACAGAATTTATTAATTTCACCGATGATATATATACATGTCAAATATATATATTATATATATATGACGTGAATAAAAAAATTTACCACTGAATAATTTGAAAATGCCGCGTATTTTTTTTTGTGAATAACTTCGTGTCACATATTGACCAATCAGAATTAAGGATTAGTGGCCAGGCAGTTTCGAGATATTTCGATATAAAACAACTTCACGTTTCTTTCATCTTTAGTAAATAGGATTTCTTTAATCACATACACTGTTAAAAAATTTTCACTGAAGTTTCCAGGCTTTAGTCTTTAGTCTTGAAATATGAAACAAGTGACGGTTTCATTGAAATTTCAGGGAATTTTACCATTGAAAATTCGTGATTTTCGTGGAAAACTCATGGAAATTTTAAATTTCCGTTAAATTATTCCATGAAAATTAATGGAAATTGGGAAAATTCAAACAAAAATGTCCCTGAATTTTCAATTTTTTGAAATTTCACAGTAATTTCTTATTGAATTATCATGTTTACATTGAAAATTCATGGAAATTTCGGAATCTTCATGGTTCTTCCACTGAAAAATCAGGAATTATCAGGGAAACTTGAAGTTTTATAGACTTTTTTCCATTGAATTGAATTCAGTGTCATTTTCTGGAAAAATCAGTTAACTTTTTACCAGTGTAGACAGAAGGGTGAAGAAATTCCTCAGATGTATGCTAAACGTCCGGTGAAATGCGTTTTCAGACAGTTTTCAAGGAATTTATGGCGGGGTGACCATGCAGGAGGTGCGACGAAGGGGGATATATTATTCTCTCGCAAAAAATCAATCGTTGAACAAAAAATGATATTTCAATTACAAATTTTCAATCTATTTCCACCATTTTTCTGTTCGAAATATTTTTTTTTTATAACTTTTATATTTTTCCCCGCGTATTTCAAGTTTTTTTTTATTCTTCTGGCTTGTCTTTTGGATAATTAGGAAATAATATGAATACGCGGAGAGAAAAATTCAATAAAAATTGCCAGAAACCAAATGTAAACATTACGTTTCGAAACGTAATCCGCGAGCGAAGTAAAATTCAATAAAAAGTGTGAGTCGGAACTGAAATTGTACGAATCACCACGTAAATTCTACGATTTGTTCCGTAAAAATTAACCACCCGTCTGATGACTCACCGCTGTGGGGATAACAAGTCATTCCGTAATTTTCCCGACCGATTGAGAAATTTTACGGAACGGAACGTAGAAATCACTCAGCAGTTTCATAAAAATTGTTGAACGTTCAAGAATTTTTGATTATAGAGGCATAATACACTGAGAAAAAAAATTACTTTTGCCAAGTAAATTTGCTAACTACAAGAAAATCCACACATTTCAAATGCAAATATTTGTATACATTTACATGTGGCAAGTAAATTTACTTGGCAGAAGTAATTTTTTTTCTGAGTGTAAGTTGGGAAGTTTCTGTAAGATTTTACTTCTTCGGGAAAAATTACGTGACAATTTCGTACTTTGTTCAGTGATGAACTTGAAAATTCTCTGAACGTTTCAGATTTCTTCTCTTCCATTCCTGTAAAAAGTGCCGGAAAACGGTTCCCCATTGCGGATTACGTGAATTGTTCCGTAATTTTTACTGAGCATTTCTCTCCGAGTATCACTTTAGTCCTCTTTTGAGAAAATTTATAAAAAAATTCCCAGAGTTTTGCACGTACATACGGACGCACACACAGACATTCTCTAAAACCATCATATCTCGACGTTTCATGACATTCCAAATCACTTCCAAGCAAAATTAGAGAATCAAAAAGCCAACCGATTACAAAGCTTCATTTGTAAACGTATGGAAAAGGCGAAACTCCTGGGTCACGAGTGCGCACTGATTTGTGGCCAGGTTTATTTGCAGTTCCACGTGGCACCTGCACGTGACAATCATTGATGTCCTTTTTGAGAAAATTAACATTCACATTACCTGTACGTGACCTTTTAGGACGAATTAATAATGACGTTTTTCTCAATGAAGATTGACGATTGAAAATTGTTAGTTCCGACCTGCTAAATGAATTCATACCAGTTTAATCTGGATGCAATTCAATTCCTTTTTCGTATATCTGATTCAAGATTATTTTTCCAGTTGTGAAAGCATAATACCAGCGAAATGATAACTAAGCGGCACCAGTTGTTTATCAACCTCAGTTTACTCGATGTTTCGCTGATTGAACTTAAATAATTTATCGCTTGAGTTTCTTTCCCCTATTCGACAGTAATGAATGTTCCACAAGTGAAACGCGTCAATGATGAGACATTCTGCGACCGCCGGCCCAATTGTTCTCTTCTCAACTGCCTCCTCTTCATTTTCTTCACTCTGCCGATTTTTTTTTCCTCTCGCTGTGTACCCGATCGATGACGTTTTGATTAATAACGGGCTTGAATGGTGTAATTGAAACGATATGAGAGGGAGACGCTGAGATAATAGATGTCGGAAGACACGGAAATAAACATAATAGACGTCAGAGACGAAAAAACATTCACTGATTTTAATGAGTTCAAGTACGTTTGATCAAAGTCGGAGAACCGACGAGTCTTTCTTAGAAAACGATAGAGTTTGACGAAATGTTCATTCCTCGAATATTCTATTTTACGAAACTGCGGGCTTGAAATACATTCTGCCGAGTAATGATGACGACTTTTGAAAAATTAAAAATTGCGTGCAATTGATTGGGGCTGAATTATTTGAGTAGTAGAGTCAGAATCATAACTGCGACAGGAGGAAAAAAATCAGTTGTTAGGGATAGATTTGTCATTTTTTGGGGTACTTGACACTGACTAGAATTACTCCTATACTGTTGAAGAAACTTGACTGAATTTTCCGAAAAAGGACTTTGCATTCGATTTAAGAGAAAAAAGTCAATGGAATTTCAAGTTTCTCTGGAAATTCAAGCAAAGATTTTCATGTTCATTGAAACCGAGATCAGCTCTCCAAAGTTTTGTCTCGTAAAGTGTCTCGCGGCATCACTAATTATTCCTGAAATTGGTTACCGATTTTAAATGTAAAAAATTATTTATAACTGAATATTAGAAATTTGGGTATGCCTGATCGCTACCCAAGATTCGGAATTAAAATGTGGTTCCAAATAACTGGAAGATCCGTTAATTCATTTTTGATTGAAAAAGAATAGTAGATTAAGGGGTTTAGTGCATTCAAAAAATCATCACATATAGTTTACATTCATACTAGTCTTCAGATTATGTATTATTTTTTATTTTATTTTTTATTTTTTATACTCTTCTAGATTCTGTTTTTAATTGATTAATGATAAAAGGTGATGTATTGATGGGTTCACCACATAACCCCAGGGGCTCATGGAAAAGTTATTATTATTATTATTATTATTATTATTATTATTATTTTCTTTTTGGAATAAAATATATTATATAGGAAATTTTTTCTCTGTGTAGGAATTACAAGTTTCCTGTTAATTTTTTAAGGTTATTTTTACTCAAAATTAGCAACAAAATCACGGGTTTCTAGAATTCCCTCACTCTTTTAACTAGAACTTTTTGTTTTCTCTTTGAAGATTGCGGGAAAACTTTTGTTTTGATTAAAAAATAATATCACTGTGCACATTTCAGCTACATTTGATGTAGGCTGATCCTTCAAAATCATCAGTTATGACAGTTGAAATTACAGAATATAACGGAGACTTATACTTTTTGAAATTGATATTCAAAATTGAATTTTGTAAATGAAATGTAGAAACGTGACGAAAAAACATTAAAAAACTTGTGATTAATCTGGCAATAATCGATCTATGCAGTATTAAATGAATACCGTGAAGGACGAAGAAGAAATTCGACAAAATTATTACACATAAAAATACTGAATGAGGAATGAATTTTCTTCAGTTCGGATAATGCTAATAATTATTCAAAAACGAATTCCCAAATGTTCGATGAAAGTTCGTCATCTATCAATAAAGAATATCAAATACGTCATGACAATCCGCACAGCATCCCTGACATTGTGAAAAATACCCGTTTGCAGAGTCACGATGACGACATTTGAAAATTAAAAAATTGTACCCAACAGATTAGAACAAAACAAGTTGAATCATTTGAGAAACCAACGTCAGTGATGTTTTCCGGTGTTCCAAGAAGCAATAATAAAAAAACTCTAAATTGTTTTGTATGTCTTTATTCAACAGTTGATGCGAAAGCTGGTGTAGCGTGAAATGCAGTCAATTGACACGAATTAAGACGCAATTAAACGGCTTCGCGCAGACAGCTGGACGCTTTTCCAAGTTCTTTTTCAAAGGACGCGGGGAAAGGAAGAAATTCAAGGGAAAGAAATTCACTAATGACGAATTGAACATCAACGGAGAGTCATGTGAGTGTCACTTTTTCATTTTTAATCACAGAATTGTTATTAAAAAAATGGCATTCACTCACCTCAATTCCACTTATTCTTGTATTCACGAGTACACCTGTTGATCAAACACGGGACAACACACTCCTAGGCGTTCGAATGGGGTTGTGACGAGGGCGTCGCGACGTCCCGTGCCTAATATACCATCAGCAGACTCGTCACCCTCTCTTTTTTTCTCTCTCTCTACTTTTTTTTTATTTCTTTCTGCTCCTGCTGGTCTTCCCTTTCCAACTATCCACAAATACAGTTGTATCGGGCATATATCCACGCATGTGAAGAACGACCCCACCTTCCCAATCCAACGACCCAATTGTAACGGTGGCTCCGTTCATGAGTGTCGCCACAAATGGACTCTGCAATCTTCCTAATAACATGTGTCGTTTGTTCTTATGTTTCTTATTTTCTTGGTTTATGCCATCCTCGGCTTCTTCATCTTGGGAGCACAAGGGGTGGCCTGCACGCGCGTCAGCCCCAGGAGAAATTTAATGTCGCGTAGATCTCGTGATGGTGCTGGCGCGCGACGTGCAGTGTTTTAGGTACACTGATAGAATTATTCATTTATTCCAAACGAGATTCATTGACCATTAACGAATGGTAGAGTTGAATATGACCAAATGAATATCCCCTAATAGTTAACGAATGGTTCACTTGAATGGCGAAAGTCAAGTCAAACAAGGCTTCTCAAAATATACATTCGTTAACAATAACTAATCGGTACCTCCAACCAAAATCCATTCATTAACAATAACTAATCCGTTCTATCAGTGTACAGGCAGTTTGGCTCAATGTCGCAAAATTTTGGTCAGTTTCTACTAGGGAGCCGGTGTTCACTGTTGAATAATTTTGGCTGAATTCGAATTAAGGGGAAGAAGTCAATGGAATTTCAAGCTTCTCTGAAAATTAGAGTAAAGTCACCTTTTTTAGCGGCAGAAACACGGAAATTCTACAATTTCCATGAAGTTTCAAGTGGGAATGAGTATTCAGCACCAAATTTCCTTGAATTTTCACGAAATTCTTGTACAATTCGTGGAATTCCAGGATTTTTTTAAGGAATTACCTGAAAATTCAAAGGAATTTTGAATTCAAGGAGAGATTTATCTGCATTTTCATTAATTTTCCCGGAGTAATTAAACTTGAATTTACAGTTCCCAAGGATTTTCCATTAAATTCCATGGAATTTCGGGCGCTCAGAGGGGAAAATCTTTTTTTTTTATCGTTATTTTACACCGCTTCGACCCGGTTAGAGTAGGGGAGGGTGTGCCTGTACCGCTCAGCGGGTAATACCGCTCACCCGATTTTCTCCACAACCAGCAACTTGAAAATTTCTTTCTGTTCCTGATCATGAAGAATTTGATGATAGGATGTGATTGTCGGAAAAATTTCACTTTATCTACCACTTTAAATATGAAAAAACACGTAACGAAGTTTTGAGGTGTTTACAGTGCAAAATTTGTGGACTTTTAATTAAGGTTTTTGATAGTTTCAAACGCTGAATTCTCATATTAAACTGTGGTTATTCGATTCGTGGTACTTTCACGCGTAATTTGAGATCAATTCGAACTCAAAACTTCACTCATGTCAATAATTATTAACAATTTTGTTGACGCCGAGCGGAGCTGGTAATACTGCTCATAGGATCGGCCACGTAGTTGCTCGACAGCACTCGAGTACAGGTTAGGTTGCGGCGCGAGCGATCTGCGATGATGATCAAGACTTTAAATGGTTAGATCGCATCATTCTACCCGGTCGGGATTTGAACTCGGAACCTTTCGCATGTGAGGCAATGAACTTACCCACTGCGCCAAGCCAGCGGGGTATTCTCATAAGTTATTGAGTGTTTCTATCCTTGTATGTTCCTGATGAAGGCAACAATAATTGTTTGAATCAAATAAGAAATTATTTCACGGAATGTCCATTTTTAGAGTTGAATATCGCAGATACTACCCGAGTCGAGGATTTGGTTCTGATTGGACGTACACAGGTCTTTCAAGATCTCTCCAGACCTAGATGGACCTGGTAAGTCCTAATCAGTTCTGCGACGTACTTTTCCAGAGACCTTTCGAATCCTCAGTTCTTTTCGGTCCTGAGAAGTCCTCCTCGATGCTACCGAGAACGCGTGATTTTACGAGCGGGTGAAGGGGAAGGCATGTATGCGGAGGGTTGAAATTTGTAGCCAACGAGGAGACAGGGTTGCAGAATATATTTTGGCCACCATCATCTCCCCGTTTGCAGGTGGTGTTTAAATAAAAAATAGTGAACGTTGATTCTGTATTTATTGACCCCCTGATGCCAATGAAACCCTCGGAGGTGACAGAAAAGGGGAAAAAATTTTTTTCATTTTCCCGTGGGTGAAAGTCGATTTTCGCCAAAATTGAATTTTTTCGCCGAGTGAAAGTTGATTCTGTATTTTCTAATTATTCTGATGCCAATGAAACCACCGAAGGCGCGACAAAAGTCGAAATAAAATTTTTTTTT